GAGGAGGAGGAGGATCGGGGAGGAGGAGGAGGAGGAGGAGGAGGCCTCGCGGCCCTCGCTTCTGGGCCGCGGGCTGGAAAAAAAATCGCCGCGGCGGATGTCCGGGCGGAAGGCCAGGCGGGCGGGCGGCTCGGCGGGCAGGCCGACCTGCCGGCGGGCGGAGGAGGTGGCAGTCGGCGAGGGGCGGCGGAGGAGGGCGACGGCGACGACGAGGAGGCCGCGGAAGCTAAGCAGAGGAGGGGGGTTCAGAAGGAGAAGGAGGAAGAGGACGGCGAAGAGGACGAAGGGGAGGCAGCTGAAGCAGAGGAGGGGGGCGTGAATCGGGATGAGGAGGAGGAGGAGGAGGAGGAGGAGGAGTGCAGTGTCCTGACACACTCCTGCTGGGGACGATAGAGACACGAGCAGGTGGGACCGTGCTGTCGCGTGCTAGCTCACAGCGGGGCCACCACGATCTTCCTATCTTCCTCTCCTCCTTCCAATTCTCTTACTCGCCCTCATCCTCCTACCCCTCGTCCCCCTCTTCCTCCTTCAGCACCTCTGCTCATCCCCCCGCCTCCCCCCTCGTCCCCCATGTCTAGTCCTCCGTCAGAGGAAGGGATGCGAGAAGGACAGGTGGGCGGCGGAGGAGGAGGTGGAAGTGCACGAACAGGACGGCAGGAAGGGAAGAAGCCAGAGGAGCAACTGGAGGGGAGCAGGAGAAGGGGAAGCTGGAGGAGGAGGCTGGGGTGGAGGAGGAGGAGGATGAGAAGGAGGAGGAGGAGGAGGAGGAGGAGGAGGAGGAGGAGGAGAAGGAGGAGGAGGGAGGAGGAGAGGAGGAGAGGAGGGGAGGAGGAGGAGGAGGGAGGAAGAGGAGGGAGGAGGAGAGGAGAGAGAGAGGAGGAGGACGAGGACAGGAGGAGTCACGCGACCACATCGACGACAATGGGCTGGAGATTCAGGTGGAGGATCTCTTCGTGATCCTCTGGCTCCTCCTCCCACCCTACTCCAGACCTCTGGCTCATCCTCCTCTTCCCCCCTCCTCCTCCCCTCCCTCCTCTGGCTCCTCCCCCCCTCATCCTCCCCCCCTCATCTTCTCAGCTTCCTCCTCCCCTCAACCAACCTATCTCCATCCGCCACCTCCTTCCTCCTCCTCCTCCTGCTCTTCCTCCTCTTCCTCCTCCTCCTCCTCCTCCTCCTCCTTCTCCTCCTCATCATCATCGTCCTCATCATCCTCCTCCTCCCTCCCTCCCTCCCTCCCTCCCTCCCTCCCTCCCTCCCTCCCTCCCTTCCTCCTCTCTCCTCCTCCTCCTCCTCCTCCTCCTCCTCCTCCTCCTCCTCCTCCCTCCTCCTCCTCCTCTCCTCCTCCTCCTCCTCGTCCTCGTCCTCGTCCTCCTCCTCGTCCTCGTCCCTCCTCCTCTCCTCCTCCTCCTCCTCCTTCTCCTCCTCCTCCCTCCTCCCCTCCTCCTCCTCCTCCTCCTCCTCCTCCTCCTCCTCCTCCTCCTCCTCCTCCTCCTCCTCCTCCTCATCATCATCATCATCCTCTCCTTCCGTAATTAGCCAATGTGGCTCAAGGGGCCTGCGATTTGTTCTTGGGCATGGGCGCGAGCGCTCAGGCTTGCCCTCCTTACGGGGGCCGCAGATCATGTTACTAATCCGAGCGGGCCATCGGATTCTTATAATTGTCATCACTTTGGGGCTCCTGAAGCCTGCGTGCTGGGGAAATCTCGAGCGGGAGCCCCGTCTGTGAGTGAATCGCGAGGAAGTCGCAGGCGGGAGCCCCCCTTCGATGGGGCCCGCAGATCATGTGATTCGAGCGGGTCATCAGATTCGTGCGCTTGTCTTCACATTTGGACTCGTGAGGCCTGAATGTGGGAAAATTCTCAGCGGGAGCCTCGTCCGTGAGTGACTTGCGAAGAAGTCTCAGGCGGGAGCCCTTCCCATGGGCCCTTCCCCTGGGGTCTCACAGTAGGTCCCGCAGGCCCCACAGGACCCGCAGGTCCCACAAGCCCCACAGGTCGCACAGGCCCCACTGGTCGCACAGGTCGACTGGGTTCCACGGGGCCCGCGGGTCATGCAGGTCCCACAAATCCTAAAAGTTCTGGGGGTCCCACAAGGATCCGGCGGGCCCCACAGGTCCCACATGTCATACAGGTCCCACAAATACCAGGGGTTCCACATGTCTCACAGGCCCCACGAGGCCCACAGGCACCACAGCTCCCACAGGTCCCGCAGGCCGCACAGGCACCACATGTCCCACAGGTCCCACAAGTCCCATGGGTTCCACTAGTCCCACAGGGCCTGCAAGCCCCACATGTCCACAATATCCCACAGGGCCCGAAAGTCAGACGGGTCCCACAGACTCCACATGTCCAGTCCAACAAGGCTCACAGGTCGCACAGCTCCCACGGGCCCGACGGGTCTCAAACGTCCAACACGGCGCATTCTGGTATCCTCGCGTTTGGGCATCATCACCATCCCTGCTCGCCTGTGAGGACGATTCTAAGTCGTACTAAGGAGATGATTATGCGGGATCCTTCCGCCGGAGTAATCATATTGACAAGGATGGTTGGCTTGCGCGCAGCAGGCAACATGAGGGCGCCCACGCCGCCCCACTCAAAAACCAATGGAAAGTGGTCGCAGGGCGCCCGTGCAGGGTCCATGTTCGGAGACAAAGGGTATTTGGCGTGCACAGTGGTCGCGGGGCGCCCGCGCATGCTCCACATGTGGAGGCAAAGTGTAGTTCGTTTTGTTTTTTGGCAGAGGTGGTGAGGGGGGTGATGGCATTGGTCCAGGTCAGCTGCTGGTCGCCTGGGAGAGGGGGCGTTTATCAATAGGGAGCATGTTTATCAATAGGGAGCAGGGATAAACACCTCCCTGAAGGGAAGAAGGGGGGTAGAAGAGGAAACGCCCTCGGCCACCTAGGTCCAAACGGCGGATGGGAGTATCCTCCTCCTCCTCCTTTCCCTCCCCGTACCCCTTCTCCACACCCTCCCCTACCCATCCTCCTGTTCCTCCTCCTCCTGCCAGAGTAGTCCCCCAGCGAAGCCGCTGGTAGGCGCACATAACTCGCAACACAGAGCCATTTCATACATATGATCGTGCCCATTTGATGTGGTGCCGCACTCCACCAGGGTATCCGGCGCTGAACTATGGCGCGTGTGTGGTCTGCGTGTCTGCTCTCCTCCTCCTCCTCCTCCTCCCCTTCCACCTCCTTCTCCTTGTCCTCCCCCTCCTCCTCCACCTCCTTCTCCACCTCCTTCTCCTTGTCCTTCCCCTCCTCCTCCCCCTGCTTGTCTGTTCTCCTCCTCCTCCTCCACCTCCTTCTCCTTATCCTCCCCCTCCCGCTCGGACAAACATGCCGCTGGCAGCGCTCCACGCGCGTGGCGACGATGCTGCTCGAGGGTGGAGCCAACCCGCGCCTGCAGGACAAACGGGGCCAGGACGCGCTCATGAAGCTGGTGCGAGGGTCGGGGGGGGGGCAGGGGAACGGCATGGGGAAGGGGGAGGTGCGAGGAGGAAGAGGTGGGAGAAGTCGGAGGAGGAGGAGGACAGCGAGGACGAGGAGCGGAAGGAGGAGGAGGAGGAGGAGGAGGAGGAGGAGGAGGAGGAGAAGGAGGAGGAGGAGGAGGAGGAGGAGAGGGAGGAGGAGGAGGAGGAGGAAGAGGAGGAGGAGGAGGGGGAGGGCCAGTGTGAACCCAATACGCATCAACGATGTTGCAAAACCCTCCCTGCCAGTTCTCTCTTCTTAGGTCCCTACAAGACTTGGTCCTCGCTGCGGAAAAAGAGCGCGCTCTGTGGGCGCTTGAAGGGGTGGGGTCCGGAACCGCCGTCCCCCCTGGTTCAGGGGGGGATCCAACCACCCCCCCCTGCCCCCCCTCCCCCCCCCCGGGGTTCAAGGGAGGGGGCGTTCGAACCCCCCCCCGTGCCTGCGCCGGCGTCGGCGGCGGCCCCCCTCCCCTTCCCGGGCTGGAGCCGGCGGCGGCTGTCGGCGGCGGCGGGGAACGTCGACGTCTTTTTCGGCGGCGGCGGCGGCGGATGCGGCTGCCAGCGCGGCGGCAGAGGACTGCAAGGAACCTTCATGCCAGGGACGTTGTGCCTCGTGTCCAATGACGCCCCCGTTTCGTCACCGACTCATGGGGTAACCCTCCCCTGTCGCTTCACCGCCCCATGGGGATCAGGGGGGTCGATCGAGCTGTCCCCCTTGGCCTGAAGAGATCCCCCAGTTCGGAGCTCACCTCCCCGTGACGCGGCGGCTCGCTACCGAGGCGACGAGGGGCAATATCCCCCTAATCCAACGACGCCCGCCCATGTAGGACGTCACTGGCCAATGGGGCCAACTCCTCCCCCCCCTCAAAAAAACATTGGTGCTCAGCCGCCACCTGGGGCTTCGGGGGATGGTTCGGGTCGTTGCCATTGGCCCGAAGGGGCCCCCCCTTCGGGGATCACTGCCCCATTGCTGCGAAGGTGCGCCGCCGAGGCGCCCTCGTGCCAGCCGCGGCGCCCCCCCTTGGTCAGACCCCCCACCCCCGTTGAAGATGCCGCCGCCCCATAGGGGCCAAACCCCCCCCCCCTGCACCAGGGAGGAGGAGGAGGAAGAGGAGGAGGAGGAGGAGGAGGAGGAGGAAAAGGAGGAAAAGGAGGCGGAGAGTGCTAGCTTCCAGCCTCCCGGCGCACACTCCCACGTTGGTACCATCTCGGGCCACCGTGGCGGCCCGCGCCCGCGCCCTGGGAGGGCCCCGCAGCGGGGCCAGCGGGCCAGCGGACACGAGCCACGTGCAGCAGGGGGGGGGCCCTGGAGGGGGGAGCGGGGAGGTCGTTCGGGCTGCACCCGTCGGCCGGCAGCCCCGCGAGGAGATCGCGGGGTCGGCGCGTGCGGCGCACTTTGCCCCGTGTGCATCTGGAAGCTGCCGCGTGGCCGCTCGGTCATGGGAGTGGCAGTGGGCGCCGCGGCTCTCGCCTGACCCCAGCGGCCGAGCAGGTGAGGCGATTGGAGAGACCCCCCTCTCCCTCGGCGGTGCTCTGCCCAGTGATCCGCCCTGCCGGCCCTCTTCTCACCCTGGCGGCGGCTCGCCCCCATCGCGCTACTCACGCTTCGGGAAAAAACACAAAAAACGTGGGAAAAAACACGAGTCTTTTTTCCCACGTGTGTGTCTTTTCCCACAGACCCCCATGGTCTCTTCGCTCCCCTCTCCTCGTCGGGTGACCCCAATGGGGTGCGGGGCCTCCTGGTCGGAACTCGGGCGCGCCCGATGGGCAGGCCCAGCTCGCATGTCACGGAGACGGCGCGCCGCACTGCCTCCGTGGCACTGGAGCTTCGCGGCTGGACCACCCGCTCGGCCGCCGGAGCGGCCCTGCGCGGCAGCTTTCTCCCGGCACCAGCGGCATCGCTCCGGGGAGGGTGTTCGGCATGTCCGTCCCTGTGGCATCGCGCCGAGCCCCCAGGCGCATGCGGATTGGATGCGTCGCCCCTCGTCGTTGTCCTCCTCGCTGTCGTCGTCGTCGCTGCTCGTCGTCCTCGTCGTCGTCGTCTCCGCCCCGCTCTACGCCCATTGCCCTGCCACCCTCTCCTCATGAGGCGACCCCCTGGGGTGAGTCAGGAGGGAAAAAACACAGACACAATTAGTCGTCGATTCTCCAGAAAATATTGGAAAATATGGGAAGTGGGGGGGAAGACAAAACCCCAGAAAATATAAGAAAAGATTGGAAATCCTGTTATTTGTGTGTATTTATTTGTGTGCCCCAGGGCCCCTTCACAACTGTCGCGGAGTCGGCCCGCCACGCCGTCTCTGTGACACAGTATGGGGGCCCTGGGACACACAAATAAATACACACAAATAACCGGATTCCCCATTTTTTTATATTTTCTGGGTTTTTGTCTTCCCCCCACTTCCGATATTTTCCTGCATTTTCCGGGGAATCGACGATTAATTGTGTCTGTGTGTTTTTCCCTTCCTGGGACAGGAGTCCCCTTTTCTCCACACCTGCCCTCCCACCGCATCCTCGCCCTCCTCTCCTCGTGCGGCGACCCCTGGGGCACGAGGCTTCCTGTGGAGTTCGGGGGGCCCCTTCGAGAGGCCCCGCGCGAATGTCACGGAGTCGCCGCGCAGCAGCGCCAACTCCATGACATTTTGAAAGTCATGCTCTGGCCACCCGTTCGATCACGGGGGTGGCAGGGAGCCACAGTTCTCGCCCAGCCCCAGCGGCCGACTGGGCGAGGCAATTCGGAATCCCCTCTCCCGTCGCAGCGTTCGATCTGGTGAGCTGCCCCTGCCAGCAGAACTCCCCTTGGCAGCGGCTCGCCTCATCATCGGCGCCGCTCTCATCCCGCTTCTCGCCGCCTCTGTTTCCCCATTGGTCTCATCGCCCCACCTCGCCACTCTCACCTCGCTTCTTGCCGCTTCCGACCCCCCATGGCCGTCTCGCCCCTCTCCCTTCATCAGATGACCCCTGGGGAGCGGGGCGGGTCTGCGGAGGTCTGGGATCTACTCGGAAGGCGGGATCCCCTGGCCGAAAGAGACCGGAGCCCGCGCACCGAGCCTCCCCCAGCTTCCCTTCGTCCGAAGCCTTGCCTCGCGGCGTCCGCGTCCGCACTTACCGTTATTAAAACTCTTCTTCTACGTGCCAATGTTCGCCTTCAGAGTAAGGCCAGGGCGCCGCGATCGTCCTCAATAAGCCAAAAGGACTGCCAGCAGGTCCCCCTTGTCACCCCTGAGGTTGGCAGGTCCCTCTGGGCCGGCCTGGCACCAGTTAGCTCCCCAGGGCGTGGCACTTGTTAGCCTTAGCCTTTGGAGCCGGCCTGTCAGTTGTTCGCCCCCCCCCTTGGGCTTGTCACCTGTGAGCCTCACTGGTTCGTCACGAACGGAGCTGCAGGGCCGGCAATCGTCCTCCACCAGCCGAGAGGGTTGCCAGCAGGTCTGCTTGGTCACGCCTAAGGCTGGCAGGCACCCCTGGGCAGGCCTGTCACCTGTTGGACCCCCGCGGCGTAGCGCTTATGAACATCCGGAGCCGGCCTGTCACTCGTTAGCCTCCCCCAGGGGTTTTCTCATGTGCATCTCCCCATCAGCCAGATCAGATCGATTGCACGGCCCGCCTTCTACTCCTCGTGTTCGTCGTCGTCGCAGGCACTCCCAGAGCGCCCGCATGGGCGCCCCTGAACCCGCCTGCTCCCCTTGCGCCGTTTCCCAGGGCCTTCGAGCGGGCGCGCTCGGACCCGTCCACTCTCAAGGGAAATCCCTCGGCGGTCCGGAGGGCCAGATGCAGGCCTGGCGAATAAGATCGATGCACTTGCCGCTGGCGCCGCTCGAAGAAGGTGGCCCTCAGCGGTGTCGGAGCATCTGGGGGGAGCGGCACCGTGGACCAGAGGCCTGGTGCGCCGCGCCGACCCCGTGACGTTTGAAGTGGGCGACTGGGGCAGACGAAGGGGCGATTCTCCATCCCCGCTGGAGGTTCGGGAGCCACATCCCGGGGTATGGCAGAACCTGTCACAGGGGTCACCGTGTCTGGCTCCAACGGTGTCTATGGGCACCCCGCTTCCACATGGCGCCGGCCACCGGCCGATTGATTTCTGCCATGACTCCTGCTTTGAGGCTGGCCTGCCCTTGGTCTCATATGGGGTTCTAGCAACCGAATTATCCTTCACTTCGCAGGTTTACGGTCTCCAGTATTTATTTGACGGCCGCCTCATCCTCAAAGATGGGTTCAGATATCAATTCTGCCTATAGGGAATTTGGTAATTCTCCTCCTCCTCCGCCTTTTCCTCCTCCTCAGCCTCCTCAGCCTTCTCCCCTTCCTCCTACTCCTCGTCCTCCTCCTCCTCCTCCTCCTCCTCCTCCTCCCCCTCCTCCTCCTCCTCCTCCTCCTCCTCCTCCTCCTCCTTCTCCTCGTCCTCCTCCTCCATTCCTTATATATATATAAATATATATATATATATATATACATATATATATATATATATATATAGCTTCTCCCTGTCGCACCCCGAGGCCAATTTTCAGGGTGGGCCGGGCGTTTCGCCTGAGATTTCCTCACCATCTATGATTCTGAGGCTTAGAAATTGGCAACAGCTTCACAGATGGAGGGCGGGTGGTTTTCAAAATGTGGCTCTCGCTTTAGCGCCGCGTACATTCGTTTTGAAGATTTGCAAGAGCTTCACGGATTGAGGGCGAGTGGTTTTCAAAATGTGGCTCTCGTCGTAGCGCCGCGCACATCCGTTTTTCAAAATCGCAAGCGTTGCACAGATTGAGGGCGAGTGGTTTCAAAATGTGGCTATCGCCTTAGTGCCGCGTACATTCGTGTAAAGATTGCAAGATCTTCACGGATTGAGGGCGGTTCCTTTTCAAAATGTGGCTCTCGCTTTAGCGCCGCGTACATTCGTTTTGAAGATTTGCAAGAGCTTCACGGGTTCCCATGATTCACGTACCAGAAATGGTGTTTTGGAAGGACTCATGCAGGGGGCACAAGTTATGTTGATTCGCGGTGTTCAAAACCCACGAATGGCGTTCTGGCACGATTCAGGATCGTCTAGACGCAACAGTCAGGTTGATCTGTGGCGTTGGAATCCCGGGAACAATGTTTCGGCATGCTTCAGGGTCTTCACACAGTTGTCTTCCAAAGAGGCAGTTCCCTCAGTAAGAATGCACCGCTGTAGGGGCCTATGAAGAGGGAGCTTCGAGGGAGTGTTTATTGCGAAGGCCTTACGGCTGGTGCCGCCGACCCTGAATGGCGACGACGACGACGACGACGACGACGACGAGCGCTCTTGGGGGCCTCTTGGGGGTAGTTTGTGGGCCTCTTGGGAAGGTCTTAGGGGCCGCTTGGAAGCCTCGTGGGGGCCTCTTGGGGCTTCGTGGGGGTCTCTTGGAGGGGGCCTGGGACGTCTTGGAGGCTTCTTCGACGGTCTTGGGGCTATCTTGGGCGTTTTCGGCCGATCTTTGGGCGACTCGGGGCCCTCTTGAGCCGTCTCCGGGGCCATCTTGGGCATTCGGACCTCATTTGGAGTGTTTTCGAGGTTTCTAGGCCGCCCGAGGAAAAACGAATCTGCCCCCCCACCCCCCCCTCCCACCCACCCCTGGGGAAGGGATCAAAGGGAAGGGGCTTCCCTTCGACTCGATTACGACACTGCTAGATTTTTCTCTCGCTCACGAGCTTGAGAAGGAAGCTGCAGGGAAAGGGGACGACGGAGGCGACGACCGACGGAGACGACGATTCGCACAGCCAAGCCCCCCGCACACGCCGACAGGGTCGGCGGATTTCATCACCGTTGACGCCTCTTGGGTTTACACTGGTCCTCCTCCTCCTCCTCCTCCACCTCCTCCTCCTCCGCTTTTGAGCTCCCCCTCCCCGAGATGTAAGAGGAGGAGGAGGAGGAGGAGGAGGAGGAGGAAGCCCGAGCCTCTCGCAGCCAATGGCACGAGCAGGGTGGCCGCGGGAGGGCCTCACACCCCGCCAGGTGCGTCGGGACTTTGACGGGCCGGCGGCAGGCTGCGCGTGGACCTGGGAGGTGCTGCAGGACACGGGCCGCGCCGGAGCGGGCGGAGGCCCAGGCCCCCTCCGCGCTGCGAAGAGATCACGACGGAAGGTTTCTGTTCGCCAACGTCGGCCTCCGGGCGCCCTTCCCGGGCCTTGGGGCCGTCAGAGAACGACTCGGGATGAGAAACCGGTCCCGGGGAAGGGGTCCAGACTTCCGGGGATCGAAGCGGCGAAAAAAAATCACGGCGTCGGGGGCCTGGGGAGCCGGAGGAGGGGCGGCGAGAGGACCGCAAGGGGCGAGAAGGGGGGGGCCGCCGCTGCTGGAGGCCAGGGCGCAGCTGCGCTGCCGGCTGGCGAGGGAGGCGGCGAAGCACGGAGGGGTTGGGGTTAGGTTGGGCATGTCTTCCTACAGGCGGACTGTGGAAGAAAAGTGCATAGAAGTCAAGAAAAACAACGCAGAACTAGGGAACAGATTGCCCCCTGATTCTTTTTGGACTGGTGGTGAACCTGCCTCCTGTAGAGGGACACGCCCGACTTGCGTTTTGGGGAGTGGCGCGCGAGCCCGTGGGGCCGCAGGAGGCGGCGGGCTTGCCTCGGCGCTCCTCGGCGCGCCTCGGGGTTCGAGGTGGCGCGAGGGCGGCAAAGACTGCGCCCCGCAGCCTCGGGAGGAGGGGGGGAGGGGGAGGAGGAGGGACGAGGAGGGACGAGGAGGGACGAGGAGGAGGAGGAAGGGGGGAGGAGGAGGGACGAGGAGGAGGAGAGGAGGAGCAGGAAGAGGAGGGGGAGGAGGAAGGACGAGAGGGGACGAGGAGGAGAAGGAAGAGGAGGATGAGGAAGAGAAGGAGGAGGAGGAGGAGGAGGAGGAGGAGGAGGAGGAGGAGGAGGGAGGAGGAGGAGGAGGAGGAGGAGGAGGAGGAGGGGAGGAGGAGGAGGAGGAGGAGGAGGAGGAGGAGGGGGAGAGGAGGGACGAGAAGGACGAGGAGAGGAGGAGGAGGAGGAGGAGAACGAGTAGGAGGAGGAGGAGGACGAGGAGGAGAATGAGGAGGAGGAGAACGAGGGAGGAGGAGGAGGAGGAGGAGGAGGAGGAGGAGGAGGAGAAGAACGAGGAGGAGGAGGAGGAGGAAGAGGACGAGGAGGAGAAGGAGAACGAGGGAGGAGAAGGTGGAGGAGGAGGAGGAGGAGGAGGAGGAGGAGGAGGACGGGTGAGGAAGGAAAGGTCGAGGAGAATGGGAAGGAGGGAGGCGGGGGAGAACAAGGCTCGGACGACAGGGGTGGAGAAGAGGGCGAGGGGAAGAGGCACGAGGAGTGAAGAGCGGCAGAGGATGAACGAGCGATGGTGAAAGCTGGAGGGGGAGCGAGGAAGAGCAGGAGGAGGAGGTGCAGGAGGAGGGGGGGAAAGAGAGGGAGGACGAAATAGGAAGGCAGGGTTTTTTGATTGCGACGCGGATGAAGCCCATAGTATGTCAGCAGAGCGCTGCGCTGCAATTAGCATAGTATGCTAGATACTTAGCAGTTCTTCTCGGGCACCAAGTAAACAAGTACAGTGAAACAACAGCACAGGCCAGGAGAAGTGCGCACAGCAGGACAGCAACAAGGGCGGTCCTGGCGTGACGCTGGCGAAGTATCCTTGTCCAAAGCCACGAGTGGGAACCACGCGCATGAGACACGAGTGCCTGACGGGGCGGAGTTAGGCTCGGCCCCCAATAGCGGCACGCAGACGAGACGGCGGCGGAACTAACCCGAGCTTCACATTACAGTCAACCCGCACAGCAAGGATGGGCAACCTTCCCAACGGTACCTTGCATCCTTGCCTCCTCGGCCCATCCTTGGCCGCTCTCGTTGGCCGCGCCCCGCTCGAAAAGCTTCGAAATGGGCGTCCAAGGCCCTTGCATCCTTGTCGTGCATCCTTGTGATACGGGCCGACTGTAAAGACAGACCGCGGAGACGGAGGTACCCGTCAGCCCTTCTCCTCCCGTCCCGCGGCCAACATGGCAGACAACAACAAAAAGAGCGGTGCACGGGACAGCCCGCGGGCGGAGGCACGGCGAGCCCTCAGGGACGGCATTCGGTTACTTGAGACCGGCTCTCTGGCATTCCTGACGCAACGTCGTTCGGGAACCTTGTCGACGGCACCGCTCGCCGCTGCACGTGCTGCATCGGCCACGCGGCCAGGACAAGAATGGCCACGCTCTGTTGGCGTATGCGGGGTCTGTGGTGCAAGCTGTCGTGACCCCCCATAAAAATCGGCGGCGAGCGGGGCGGGGGGAAATGAGAAGAGGCGGGCCTTCTCAAAAGTCTCGGAAGTCACCCGGCCTTCTGAGAAGTTTTCTGCGCCTTCCTCGGAGACGGAAAAAAAAATCTCGGAAGGCGCGAGGGCTTCTGAGAAGTCCCGCCGCTTCCTGAGGAGGCCTCCTCCTTCTCACGTCCCCCCCCCTCTCCGCCGCCCGAGGTTGGCCAGGCAGCCCGTCGCAGTGCTCTGCGGTGGGCCGGGGGCCGCCCCGACGGGTCCCGGCGCGGCACGGGCCCGACGGGCGGGCACCAGCGCACCTCAGCGCAAGAAAAAAGCCGGCAGGAGAGTGCCACGCTGGCCTGCTGCACACGCACGCGGCTGGTCACGTCGAGGGCAGGAAAAGGGGGGGGGGGGAGGGAGGACAAGGGAGGGACATAGGGGAACAGAAAGTGGTATAAACATAAAAACTCGGAGGTCCGCGCGGAAGGGGAAAAACACAGCGGAAGGGAAATACGGGATAATATGGGAAGTAAAGGGAAGACGAAAACCTAGAAAATATTGGAATACATTGGGAATCCTAGGATTTGTGTCTATTTATTTGTGTGCTTTTGTGTGTCCCAGGGCCCCTTTACATGCCTCCGAATCGATGGTCATTATAAAGGCCCTTCTCGCACGAGCTGGGCCAGAGGAACGCCAGCAGTCTTGAGCACAATTGGGGCGCGCTTGGTGCTCCTGGAGAGTCGTTCCTCCTGAGCCCTGGCCAACTGGGTGGCGGCCTTTTGGTGACGTGCTCTCTTCTTGCATTGGCTAGACAGGCCTCTGTTGTCTCGCTCTGCATCCGCACCTATGGCAAACTAGGAAGCCGGTGGGCTGCTCAAAGTGCGCATAATAGAAAAGGTCGTGCCCATTAGGGTCCGACGCGAGGTCCTAAAGATGCTTACAGTGGCCAGGACAGAAGGCATCAAGCTTCTTGTGTGGGCTGAACTGGCGACAGAGCGAGCATTTCCAATGCCCACTCATAGGAGACATGGTGTGCTGCCTGTGGGGTTCCTCGGGGGCCTCGGGGAAGAGGAAGCGGGGGAGAATCAGGCGATCTCAAACATGGATCAAGGGGGCGTGGATTAGCGACGAGGCCCGCTTCCGTGGGAAATCGCGGATTTCCGCCGCCGAACGAGGCGGCACCGGCCACATTTTGGGGAGGGCGCCTCCCCCCGATCCATGGCTTTGGCGATTGCGCGCCAAATCCATGGATCGCTAATCCATGTTTGCGCGCCCCCGAACTAGGTTGAACTCTCTGCTGAGCGGCGGCCTTGGCAGCACGGTCGGCGGCGTCGCTGCCGTCGGCCAGCTTGCGAGCTTTGCTGCCTTCAGGCAGGGCGTCAGTGCTCCGGCGGGGTTTCACCCTGAGGAGCTTCTCTCACAAGGATTGTTGCCCTCCTCCAGCTGACACCTTGCACCCCGCCCAGAGATTACGCCTGGGGCAGTCGCTACCGCCATGCAGCTGGATGACCCCCTTGCAGTCAGAATACATGAGTTCCGTGTGGATGGAAGGCGCGACGGCTGCAACAGCTGCGATGTGCGCTGCTGATCAAGAGGTCTGCGCGAACACTCGGCCTGCACGCCCGCTGCAATGAGTCCTCCTCCTCCTCCTCCTCCTCCTCCTTCTCCTCGCCCTGACGCATACAGACAACCGCGTACCCTGCAGCATTGAGCACACAGTGGCCATGAGTCATAAAACCACCGCCGATGAAAAAAAACTCCCCTTGACTAAGCGGCTCGGGCCTTTGACCGGGTCGCTCACACCAAAAGCTTCCCTTGTTCAATCCCAGAACCGGAGGGGGATCCCAAATAGAATCAAGAACCAATTGAAGCCCGAGGTCGGGGGGAGAGAGAAGGGGCTCACTCAATTCTTGACGTTCCTCATCCGAGAAGTGAGTGGCTCTTGGAGTTTCCGTCCTAGGGCAGTGCAGCATGTGATGGCGAAGGTCGTTTGAGTGGCGCCCGCATTCACAACGTTGCACCACATCGTAGCCAGCAGACTTGACTCCCTCCATGGTCCAAGTGCTCTGGGTGAGGCACGTGGGGAGGGATCTCTTCTGATGCGGAGTGAGTCCGGGAGGGACAAGCGTGTTGCGGGCGGCGGCAACATCTAGGACAGCATCTGCGTAGCCCAGCTTGTTCGCCGCCTTCGCGGCGAGCTGGGCGCGGCAATCTAACTCAATGAGCGTTTGGAGGCAGGCAGGGTCAAGTCCTGAGGCAGTCACAAAAGCCAAGAGGGCTTTGAAAATCAAGCAAAATTCTACGGAGGGGAAGGTGGCGGAACTGATGGGCTCCACAACACCGCCAATTCCTTGAAGCTCTAGGGAGGAACGAGTCCGCCCAAACTAGAGTTGTTGGAAACTGGCCACGGCCGCACCAGGTCGGGTGGAGACCCCACAAACGAGTTTATGCCACGGGAACAAGAGCAGCTTTCCACACTGGGTCTTGGAGAATAAGAAGTGACAGGCGGTCCAGCAGCAGCATAATTGAGAACATGCTTGCTCCAAAGCAGAGCCACTGATGCCAGTGACCTCCACCCCGAACGCGAGGGCGGTCGAGAGCCCAGTCTGCTATAATTTTCGGGTGTTTCCATCATCGTGGTGTAAGTATGTTGATGAGACGCAAGCACTTGGCTTTTGCTAGCAACCACGCATTTTAATCAGAGAATGATGGCTGGCGTCTGCCAGCGACCTATGCTGGCAGACGACCAGGTTAAATCTGCGGGCGTGTCATTGGAGCAGCAGGCCGTCGATGAACATGGCAAGACTGACATGCTCATGGGCCGCCATCCATTTTTCCACAGCGGCAAGCACATACATGCGCACAAGATAAATAGCCCAACTGCATCCTGCTGCAATGCCTCTCCAGGGTCTCCCCACAGAACATGCACAATCCCTCAGATTAAAAACATGCCTTCACTGCGATACTGCGCCATGTTGGCACGAAGGATGCAGACGGAAACCCAAACTGAACCGCCCTCTTAGTAAGACAATCACGGTCAATGTGTTCGCAGCAGTTAGATTGATCCCACAGGACTTGCGTGGAATGTTGTAGTTTTGTGTCCGAACTGTCACATTCACACTCGAATTATTGTTTTCACAGTGGCTTCACAACGGAATGGCCAGCTTGTTGTCCAAGGAAGTGGAGGCGCTGATGAAATGCGAACTCCCCGACGGCAGACCTTATAAGACGCGACCGACTCTATACAGTGCAGGGAGCATGCGAATAGACCTGAAATATGGCTGGCTCGATGAAGCAGCATACTGTTTAATGTTGATCATGAGCGCGGAAACCATCTCGAGATGGCATGCGCCCAAGCCCTCTGGCAATGCTGGTGGATTGGCAGACGAGCTCAGCTTGCTCGTCGCTGAGCATTGCGAAACTTCCTGGATGAAGCCCGTCCCAAGCTGAAGCCGTGGAGTCCGGAAAAATCCGAGCAAGTGTCCGAAGTCTAGCGGGGCTGATGGGACCCAGGGCGATGCGATCATCGATTTATGGAACATAATAAGGGGACGGTCGGGTTTGGTCTGCCAGATGGCGGAGAGGCGGCCAGTTGGCTTCCAACTGCAAAACGTGATGGGGCCGACCAGGGAATTAGTTTGATACGGTTCTGAAGCAGGCTGCCCAGCATCCAACTGATTGAACAAACGACGCGCCCATCCCATTCTTTCCGTCATACTGTCTCTGACTTAATCCCTCTAAATCTTGTTTGTCATGGCAGTATCAGCCACCTGCTCCTGACGAAGCAGATCGGTGACATGCTCCAGCAACTCGTCAAGCACTTGGATGACCACGCCCTGCTACACAGTGCAGGCAGCAAACTCATTATGCAGTAGACTCGCAGCAACTCGAATATATTTTGGAGCCCCTCTTTCAGGGGCGCAGAGGCAGTGAACGATTCTGGGGCATCCTCGTGGATGCCCATGCAATCGTGGGACTCCTTCAAGCCCCAGTCATGGATACATCTCCCGAAGTTCTGAAGTCTATGACTTAGCCACCTAGGGGGCCCAGCGCGGCCACCCATGTGGCCCGACTCCCACTTGTCTTGGCTTCAACGGGGAGGGGGCATGAAAACCCGGGCAGGGCGGCCTCTGGGGGGCTCGTTGGGCTTCATGGGCGCGTCGGTTGCGGCGCTGATTGCGTTCCCCAGGTCCCGGGCCAGGGCGCAGCACGCGTTGCCCCAAGTGCGGCCGATTGCTGATCGGAGCGGGGCTGGCGGACATCGTCGATCAAGCGCACGCCGCTCTCAACCACGGCGGCAACCCAGTGCCAACTCGCCCCTGGGAGACGCGGGCCCACGGGAATCTGCGCGGGTAACTTCTGCGGCCCGAGGTGCGCGAGGATACTAAAACTTGCCTGCGCCGCCAGATCTCGGAGCACACGGCGGCGCGGGGAGAAGGCATGGGAGGACAGAGCGCGAGGGTCGAGGAGCAACGGGGCTGGTCTTCGGCCGGCAACAACACGTTCCAGAGTGGACTTGGTCATCTTATGTTTGCAGCTAGGAGTGGGAGGAGCGACCAATGTCGCCATCGCCCCGGTGAGAAACTTTGATGTTGCATCTTGGTTGTGGCATGGTTGAAATTACCTGCAACCAAGATTGGGTTGGCAAGCTGATTACGTAGCTGCCCGGCGCTGGCAAGCACCGTTAAACTGGTCCCTGAGAGGCCCGCCGAAGCTTGGAAATAGGCATTGCATAAACCAAGTTTGGGCATTCCAGTGACCTCCGAAAGATCACCTGACAAGCGAGACGAGTCCGTTCCGCTGCAGAACTCGATCAGTTGAACAACGAGGTCCAAGACGCGCCGGCCCAACATGGCAAAATTCGAGATAAGTCCCTGATCGAGGTTGAGAGGGGCAGCACTGACGTGGGCAACCCATCCCTTAGCGGAGCACCAATGTAGTTGGCGGTTAAAATTGTCTCCTGACGCGAGCCCACACTCTTGCGCATAAACAACTGAAATTTTACTAGCCCGATCTGATTGCAGAAAACCCCGACCGCACTCCAGCACGATCTGTTGGTCGTGGCCAACGCGCAAGTTTCACCCAGGCGACTTGGCTTGCGCTGATATCGCGGAGGCTGCCGCCTTGGCCTTCTTGCCCTCTGGGCCCTCACTGCCATGGACCACGGCCACGCCTGACGCGACCGCGTCCGAGGCCCGGGCTGCCCGAACCAAACTGTTGGTAGCATCCATTCCATCTCCATCATCATTGAGCTCCTTCTCGCCACCAGCATAAACAGGGACGTAGGCGCCAGGTTGCGAACCATTTCTGGGCACGACTGCACGAGGCGGGGTAGGATGCTCAGTCTACGGTTTGGCCCCAACTGGTGGTCGCACATTGTCTTCACCTGTCACTCATGGTCCATGGTCCATGCTGACTGCGAAGATTGTCGAACACGACGGTCAGCGCATTGACTTTGGCGCACAGACCAGGCGGGGCTCTATCTCCCGATGCCAGTTTGGCTGCAATGACTGTTGGGATTGCCTCGAGAAGTTGGCGCCCTTGGAATGTTCGCGAACGGCTGCTTGACTGGCCAACTTGAGCTGGGACTCCAACTGCTGAACCTCTTTAGTAGTATCCTCGATCTCTGCTACCAACTGGCCGTGCTTCTCACCCGCGGTGACAATGAGCACGGCAACGTTGGTGGCCTCCTGCTTCTGGGACATGAGCACGCGACGTTGCGCGGCCAGTTGGTCGGACAGCGACTGCGCATGCTGCTTCCGACTCTTGTTGGAGAGCACTTGGGATTTGGCCTGCTCGAGCTTCGCCAGCGCGGCTCGGCGCTCTTCCCCGCTCGGCGCCCCCATCCTTCCAGAACGCGGCTTGGGTGAGCGCAACGCGCGGCAGGATCATCTCCTGGCCGCTGCAGCCGAGCATCGGTTGTCTTCCACGAATGAAACCCGTGGTCGGCGCAATTCGGGGGGGGGGCGGGGCGGCCGGGCCCGCGGGCGCTCGTCCTCCAGCGGCCTGGCTTGGGCGGCGCGGCCAAGACGTCGTGATCATTGCCGCCCGCGCGACCGCCCCCCCCGCTGCTGAGACTGGCTGCTCGAACGGTCTGAACCGACCACCACGCTGCACGCAGTGCCGAGCAGCACTTGCATGCCAAGCCCAGCCGTTGCAGCGTCGCTCCGCGCGCACAACACACGCCCTCTGCGACGCCCTCTCGCTTTCGAAGCCCAGCGAGAAATCTCCCACGACAGACAGATGTGGAACAAAAGATGCGGGCGGGAGGCCTGAGCCAGGGGCCAAGGAGGAGGAGGAATGATATGAGGAGCGAGGGGGGAAGACGGAGGAAAGGGGGCATCACAAAACGGAGGATGGGGCGGGGAAGCTGAAGGAGGCGGGCGGAAGGATGAAGGGAATGGAAATGAACGGGCGGAACGAGGCAGGGATGGAGCGAAGAGCGAGGGAGGAGACAGGGACTATGAGGAGGGTTGCGGATGATGAGTAGAAGAAGAGGAGGAGGAGGAGGAGGAGGAGGAGGAGGAGGAGGACGCGGAGGGAGCACCAGCGGTAGAGGACGAGGTGGAGGAGGAGAAATAACGGGAGGAGGAGGAGTAGGAGGAGGAGGATGGGAAGAGGCGGGAGGAGGAAGAGGAGGAGGAGGAGGATGGGAATGACCAGCGTAAACCAAAGACGCATCAAAGATGTTGCAACCACGCACACACAGGGAAAAAAAATCCCACAAAGTTCTCGTCCCATAAACCCCTACAACCAATTGTCGTCATTGCGGGAAGTGCCCCATTGAAAGACAATTGCCGAAGAATCCGCAGCCGTGCCACACACCATTATTGGGACTTCAACGCCGCGAATCATTGTTGCCTCCTGACAGTCCTAGTCGCTCCAAAACGCCAGTCATGAGACTTCGAGACGAATGCGCGGCGCGCGAAAGCAAGAGCCATAGTTTGAAAGGAACCGCCCTCCACCCTTGAAAGCGCTGTAAAATTTTAGGACGGATGCGCGCGACGTTAAGGCGGAAGCCGCAGTTTGAATATCACCCGCCCTCCATCCTTGAGACAGCTGCAAACGTGTAAGACGGATGCGCGCGGCGCTAAAGCGAAAGCTTCATGTTCAAAACGATGATCTCTCCATACTTAAAGTTGGCACAAGCTTTTCAGACGAATGCGCGCAAGTTTAAGGCGAGAGCCACAGTTTGAAAAGCACCCGCCGTCCATATTTGAAGCGGTTGCAAGTCTCAACCTTCAGGCACGTTTGGTGGCGCGACAGGGAGGAGCTACTCATAAGAAAGAGGGGTGGAGCCTGGCAGGCTGGAGAGAAGAGCGCGTGGAGGGAGGAGCAAGCGCGGTAGCAGGAGGGGGGGGGGGGACGAGCTGATGTGTGGAAGGGCTGGGGGCGCAGAGAGGAGGACGAGGAGAGGCGGGGCGGCGGCGGATGCCCAGTGACACCGCCGCACTGGAGATCTCCTCCCGCGCGCCCGCTGCCAGGACCAGCGCCTGGCAGGGCCAGAGCTGAGGCACGCCGCTGCGAGGGCACCAGCTACGCGTTGAGCGAGGGAGGGAGGGAAACACGAACAGTAGCGGGGGGGGAAGGAGGGCGCACGAAAGAAGGGGTGGGAGGGCGGACGGAAGAAGGATCAGGAGCAGGAGCAGAGGGAGGAGCTCGAGGAGGAGGAGGAAGAGGACCAGTGTAAAACCCAGGATTCATCAACGATGTTGGAATACACCCTCCCTCCAAGCTCCCTCTGCACAGGCCCCTACAAGGGTTCATTTTGAGAGAATTGCCCCGTTGGGGGGAGGGCAACCGTGCGAAAATACGTAAGCGTGCCCAAACACCATTCTCAGGACGTCAACGCCACGAATTAACCTCACCGTGACGACTTGGCGATCCTGAATTGTGCCAGAACTCCATTCCTGGGGCTTCAACGCCAGGAATCAACGTAACTGTTGCGCCCTGGCGACCCTGAACCGTTCCAAAACACCGTTTCTTGTACGCTAAACATGAGAAGCAATGAAGCGTCTGCAAGTGTGGATAACGAATGTGCGCGGCGCCGAGGCGAGAGCCACATGTTGAAGAGGAACCGCCCTCAATCCGCGAAGCCCTCGCAATTAATTGAAACGAATACGCGGGGCGAAGGCGAGAGCCACATGTTGAAAATGACTTGCCTTCAGTTCGTGAAACTGTCCCGGGTGTTTAGAACGAATGCGCATGGCGCTAAAAAGAGAGCCACAGTTTGAAAACCACCCGCCCGCAATCCACGAAGCGTTGTTCAATTTCTGATACGAATGTGCGCGGTGCTAAAGCGAGCGCCACATGTTGTCAACGGCCCGCCCCCCATCCGCGAAACTCTGGCAAAAGCTTGAAACGAATGTGCGCGGCCCAGAGGCGAGAGTCGCAGTTTGAAAACCACCCGCCGTCTATATGTGAAACGATTGCCTTCTTGAGCTTCAGGATCATCAACGGTGAGGAAGTATCAGGCGAAACGCCCAGCCCGCCTGTTCGACCAGCCTCGGGGTGCGACTGAGAGAAGTTAAATATAAGGAGTTAAAGGAATGGCGGAGGAGCGGGGGCAGAAAGAGGCGGACGCGAAAGGGGGAGCGGGGGGTGGGGAAGGGAGGGGGACAAAATTGGAAAGAAGGAAAGGAAGGGGGAGGTGAGGAAACGAGGCGGGCAGAAAAAAAGTGGGAAAGGGGAGAGACAAGAGGAGGCGGCGCGGGAGCAGGAGGGACGAAGGGGAGATGAAGGGAGAAGGAGGAGGAGAAGGAGGAAGAGCAGGAGGAGGAGGAGGAGGGGGAGGGGGAGGAGGGAGAGAGAGAGAGAGAGAGAGAGAGCGCGAGGCTGACGGCGAAAGTTCGCTCAGCCGAGCCACACGCCGTGGCCGCGCGCCGAAGCGCCGCGGCGGGCACCTCAGCCCAGCGGCGCCCGAGGAAGGCGCTCAGCACACTTCCGAGCTCGCGCGCCTCGTAACATACGCTCACAGCATCTGCGCCTGCACGGCGACGTTCTCCCCGAATGGCGCTCGCCGGGGCCCGTCGGGGAGGGGGGGACTTCGAAGGAGGAGGAGGAGGAGAAGGACACTTAGTTGTTGTTTTTCTTCGCGGTTGACGGCATGGACGTCTTCCGCCCGTTTCTATCTTATCTCCCCGACTGGCGCCATCCCCGCGGCGAGCTTGTTCAGCACGGCCTTCGTCTTGGAGGAAGGTACCGAGCACTCGCGGCCGAACGGGCGGGCTCGCACGGCACGCTCCAGACCGCACGACAAGCAGGTCGGCACGGGCAGCCCGCGGAACAGTTGCCCTTCGGCTTGCGGCGGCACCCGCGCCGGGCAGTTGGCCCGTCGACTTGCCTCCCCGAGGTCGGGAACGTCAAGAAAGAGGACGACGACTGGTGGCTGGAGCTCTACGTGCTGCTCTCGCGCAAACGCCGCCGCCACGATGCTGCCAGGGCGCCCCGACTTGCGTTCCGTCCACGTGCACACGACACACCAGCTTTTGCCCTCGGGGGCCCGCAGCTGGCATGCCAAAGCCAGCGCGCGGGGCGGCGCCTCGGCGGGCCGCGGAGCAGGGCGGTTGGCGTTGCCCTTCCTGCGCGTCGCGTCGTCGCCGCCCACCGCCGAGCTCACCGCCAACGCCCAGATCGCGACGCCCTCTTGCACGCGTTCGCTTTACAGTCGGACATACACAGGACACCCGACAGGACGCAAGATTCTTTCAACTGCAACGTGGCTCCAGAACACGAAAGGACATGCGGGTTGAAAGTGTCGGGATAGGCAGAACACACGAGCGCCCTCGATTTGGCACGGTCGACCTACCAATCGGGGCCGACTTTATACCAGTTTCAGGCGGCCCGTGCGGGGCAGCCTGGCACGCGCCGCCGCCGACTTGGCCGCCTCGCCAGCCAGCTCATTGCCGCACCAGCTCACCCCGCCATCGCAAACTTGCCTGCGGCTGCAATGAGCCTCGATCCATCTGGCCGAAAGCCCGCCCCCGCCGAGGCCGCCCGAATCCGGCGAGGAGCCGCCTCGCCGCGCGCCAGATGCGACCACGCATACACGCACGAACACGTGCGCTCGCGCCCGCTCTGCGTGAGCCCCAGGAATACGAATCGCGAGTCGACGACGGCCGTGGCGGGCGGCACCGCGCGCCGCGGCACGGCGAGAAACGCACTCATCTCGCCGCCGCTGATGTCCACGAAGGCCTCCGCCAACATGCCAGAGACGCCCACGCGGAAGACCCAACAGGTCGCCATCAACGCGATCACGGCCCAGCCCACGCTGGTGCACCTCGTGAGCTCGCCTTCGAGCGCGGGGCCGCCCAAGAACCGTTCGCCTGACGGCAGCGGGGTCCCGTCGGGGTCGTCGAACCCGCACAGGTTGTCGGACCTGCGCAGAATGCAGCAACCGCGAGGCGTTGGCCACGGCGCACGCTCTGGCAGACGCCTCACCTCAGGAAACAGCACGAAGCCGAAGAGCACGAATGCCCAAGTAGCCGCGCCCCTTCGCCGCGAGCCGGCCCACCGTGCCAGCAGCAGCAGGAGGGCCGTCTCCACCAGGACATGCGTCTGGTACTGCCCTCCTCCAACGGCGGCGGCGAGGGCGCCGAGGCCGCTGGGCCCGCCGCCGAGGCCGCCTAGTGGGCCGTTGGGCGGCCCATGAACCAGAGGCATCGGCGGCGACGACAGGGGCGAATAGCCCAGGGGCGGGCATTACACGTAGTTGCCCGGCTGCCTCGCCGAAGGCATGAACCATCGACGCCCTTGGATGCATAGACCGCCCTCCCCTGGGCTATTCGACCTTATTGTCGCCCCCGAAAGTGCTTGGGAAACCTCTCGTGCCTCTGGATTGGACGCGTCGCGCGCGCCGCCGGGGACCGCCAGACGAGCCGCTGGGGCCGCCGGTGGGCCGCCCGAGGCTGCCGCCAGGGCCGCCGGGCAGGCCGCCCAGGCCGATGGGTGCGCCTCTTGGGGGCCAGCGCTCCCGCCAGCAGGTTGAGCATGCGCCCCGAAGACGCCCTTGCGGCTCGCCGCGCCCGTTGTGGTCATGCGCACAGCGGCTCTAGCACGCCCCCGCCAGCCAAGTGCTCCAGCTTCGGGGCGTTTGGCGACCTGCTGCCAGCGCCAAGCTTCGAGTGCACGCCAAAGTGGAGGAGGAGCAGGAGCAGGAGCAGGAGCAGGAGCAGGAGGAGGGAGAGGAGGAGGAGGAGGAGGAGGAGGAGGAGGAGGAGGAAGATTAGGAGGAGGAGGAGGAGCAGGAGGAGGAGCAGGAGCAGGAGGAGGAGGAGGAGGAGCGTAGGAGGAGGAGGAGGAGGAGGAGGAGGAGGAGGAGGAGGAGGAGGAGGAGGAGGAGGAGGAGGCCGGGTTTGTGGAGGAGAAACAGCAGCAACAGTATGGACGGGAAGCTAAGGATGATGACGGGGTGAAGGAAAGAGAGAGGGTCAGGAGGAGGAGGAGGAGGAGCACGAGAAGGGGGAGGCCGACACGGACAGAGGCTCACCCCGGCTCATCCGTTCCATGCTGCGCTGCTGTTTACGGCTGCAGCCTGCGATGGTTGGTGGTTGTTCGACGCATGCTTTTCGCGTGCGGTGCTCGTTCCGTTGGCGATCCCCCTTCGGCTGGAGCCAGGAGACTGAGGTGGGCAGAGCGAGGTGATGAGACGGGGGCAGGAGAAACGGCAGCGGGCCATGCGGGCGGGCACAGGCAGGAGGGGCAGGAGAGGGCCGCGCTCCTCAGCGCGCCGCCGCCAGGTCGGTCGATGTGTCTGACATAGAGAGCGCGATGGTGGCAGCCGAGGCGCTCGCTGTCGCCCGCTCGTGCGGTATATAAGCATACGCTGCTGTACACGTACCCCCCCCCCTCTCTCGATGCCCATGCCATTGCGCCGCCCCCGTCCCAAAATCCGCGGGGGCCTGCCTGTTCGCCTGCTCCTGCCCCACCTCTCGAACGACGAGATGGTGCCGTACGGTAACACAGTGCACCGTGTCGTACTCTACCTCGGCTTCCCGTGCAGGCCAGTTCGCCGCGCCACAGCACAGCACAGCGCAGCACTTCCGCTACACACCGTATTATATCATGTGGCGCAACACGTTCAGGCGCAATGCGCGTGGCTGCACTCTTCTTCTAAACGGCCAGAATACCGACTTTGTGAACCTTGGCCTGCATTTCAGTGACACGACTAGGCTCTGTTGATGCGCGGGAGTCACGGCGGGCCCCAAGGAGGGCGCCAGCACACAAATCTCCGCCATCGGAGACGTTCGCAGGCGTAGCCTCGGCACGCACGTGGCCGAACTTTTGAATCACTTTGGAGACCTTCTCGGGGAGTTCCTCGTGCTCTATGAGTATCCCTTTGAGCCACCTCGGCGTTCTTTGTGGAGTCACGGGAACAATTCTAGACGCTCCGCGTAACCCCTCCAGCTCTGAGTGAGGCCTGGTTTCCTCCCCCCCTTCCCCTCGTCGCCGCCCTCTCTCCTCGTGTTGAGCTGGCGCCGTCTCGGCGACTCCTCACATTCTCCACGCTAAGATGCGTCTCCCTGAAGACGACGGCTTGTGTTGGGGCTGGTCGGGTTCCGCATTGTACTGGCCCATGAATATATTTTGTCGTGTTGAGCTGGCGCCGTCTCGGCGACTCCTCGCATTCTCGACGCTAAGATGCGTCTCCCTGAATTTAGTTCATTTTGTTCTGTGCATGTGCTCTCCGGCGTTGGCTTTTGGCCAGCTGGCAATTATCTTGCATGCTGCCCCATGCTCGATACGACCCGCTCTCTGGAATCGTCCTTGGAGCCGCAGATGATAATAATAATATTATAAATAATAATAATAATAATAATAATAATAATAATAATACATCAAAAAAAAAAAAAAAAAAAAAAAAAAAAAAAAAAAAAAAAAAAAAAAACTCCCCGGGCTGGTGCCAGTTGTTTGTCTGGGGTGATGCTCGGAGCTTGGCGCCGCAAGGGCGACGTTCCGTAGCACTTGCACCACTGTGCGCTCGTTCTTCTGGACCGGGCGGCGCCTTGGTGCGTCACTGCGAATGTGGAGCATTTTGCTCAGTGCACGTGCACCGCACCTCTTGTGTGCTAGCCTGTACCGCCGTGCCGGACACGCTTGTTGCCGCCAGACCGTAGTCGCGCGGCCGCCGACCAAAAGTACCCCCTCCAGCCCGTCCAGAAACGATGCCCAGGCGAGTTGCCCTGACCAGGCATGTGGGAAAGCACGCGGTAGAATAAAGGCTGGGAAGACGTCCTACCCCAAGAGGGGCAGAATGAAGAAGGAACCAGAGAAGGAGGAGAAGAGGGGGAGAGGACAGGGGAAGGGGGAGAAGGGAGGAGAGAGGAGGAAGGAAGAGGATTCGGCGGATGAGGAAGAGGACGAGGATAAGGTCGATTTGAAAGGCCAGAGGCATCTTAGATGCGTCTCGGAGTCTCTTCGGATGTCACTCGAGAGTTTCTTGTAGGTCTGTTGGAGCGTCTTGGGGCCTGTTTGCGGTCCTGGGGGTCTCTTACAGCCTCTTGGGTGCCTCGGGGGCCCCGCTTGGGGCCTCTTGGCGATCTCTTGGAAGTTTCGTTCGGGCATCTTGGGGGCATCTTGGTGGCCTCTTGGGTCCTCCTGGGCGCCTCTTGCGGCTCTCTTGGGAGTTTCAGGGGCCACTTTGGGACCATCTTAGAGGTGATCGATCAAAGAAGGGGAGGGTACTCAATCAGGGTTCCACCCCCGGGGAGGCCAAAACTGACCCAAAACCTTGGTCGAATCAATGATCTGGACTTCTCGCCGAGGCCGTCTTGGACAATCGAACGGCCCGCGGGACGCCCCGTCCAGGTTCAGGGGTAGGGTGTGGGGAGAGGGGCAAACCCCTCCCCGAAGGGGAAGCAGGGGGGGTGGAACAGGAAACGCCCTAAACCACTCACGCCCCGAAGGGCTGGCGGGATGCGGGGGAACCTTGCGGCAATCTGGGGGGGGGTTTGGGGCGGTCGTGGGGCTGTCTTGGACCAGTCGCGGTGGCATCTTGTAGGCCAATTGGGGCTATCTCGAGCGCCTTCCAGAGACGCCAGAGCTCATCGGAGTACTCTTACAGCCATCGATATCTTAGGGCCTTTGGTGCCATCCTTGAAGCCATCATGGGTGATTCCTTGTACAGCCATCTGGGGCAATCTTGGGGCGTCCAAAGCCCGCGCCTGTGAAGGCGCCGGAGTGGCGCAGGACGCGGGGCCCTCCCTGTCTCACCAGCCAGCAAAGGCCGTGTCTCACGCACGTGCACGCCTCGGCTTGACGCGTGCAGGTTCCGAGGCAGGCCGGGGTCCCCTCTTGTTGTCCACCTTCCCCCCATTCTTCCCCATGCATTCCCCCTGCCCTTGCTCCATCCTGTCCCTCCCACGCCCCCCGACGAGGCGGACGCGGACTGCGTCGGCTTCTCCATAGGCCAGGTAGGAGGACGGAGGTGGAGAAGGAGGAGAAGGGCAAGGAGAGGGAGGGGATGGGGAGGAAGAGAGAAGAGGAGGAGGAAAGAAAGGGAAAGGATGGGGGAAGGGGAAGCAGGGCAGGGCAGGAGGGGAGCAGGAAGAGAGGGATGAGAAGGATGGTTAAAGGGAGGAGGAGGTGGAGGAGGAATGGGCAGACATTGGCCTCTGGTCCCCCGCATCGACAGACGGTTGGTTTGTGTGGAAGGGAGGAGGAAGAGGATGAGGAGGAGGATGAAGGAGGAAGGGGGGGAGAAGGAGGAAGAAGACCAGAGTAGACCCAAGATGCATAAAAGATGCTGCAATACACCCTCTCGTCCCGTCCCAAGTCCCCTCCTCAGAAGTCCCCACAAGCTTTCCTACTCGCTACAAAAAGGGCCCCAGTGAGAGATCAGCACCCCATGGACTTGCAATGCAAGAGAGAGCCCCGTTGTTTTGAATAAATTGTCTTTCACTCTTCTACAACGAAGTGTTCAACGATACCTGTGTAACTGCTGCACACTTTTATAATTATGGTCCTGAACTTCGAGAAGCTCCCGAGCGAGCGCCCAATTTTGAAAAGGAACTGTCCTCCCCCCTTGCGGCTGCCACATGTGCTCAAATTTCTGATTGTTTAATTCAAAGAAGTCTCAAGCGAAAGCCCCAGCTCGAAAAAGAACCGTCTTCCATCCCGATAATCGTTCCAAGCTTTTGAGGCCAATGCGCGCGGCGTTACGGCGAGAGCCCTATTTCGAAAACCGTCCCAGTCCATGCTTGAAGCCGTTTAGGACGAATGTGTGCGGCGCTATGACGAGAGTCCCAGTTCGAAAACTACTCCCCATCCGTGCGTGCAAGTGTTGCAAAGCTCACGCTTCATGATCATAATAAATGGTGAGGGAATATCAGGCGAAACGCCTGGCCCGCCCTTCCGACTCGCCATTGGGTGTGACAACGAGGACTTATCTACAGGGGCGAGGGGATGGAGGAGGAGAGAGGGAAAAGCAGAAGGAGAAGGAGAAGGAGAAGGAGAAGCAGAAGGAGAGGGTGAAGGAGAAGGAGAAGGAGAAGTAGAAGGAGAAGAAGAAACATAAGGTGAAGGTGAAGGAGGAGGAGGAGGAGGAAGAGGAGAAGGAGGGGGAGGGGGGGGAGGGGGGGAGCCCTCCCCTTGGCCCATTAGGCTTGCTCGATGCAGACCTCGATCGTGGAATCGTGAGATCCGCGGCAGCGGGGAAGGAAGAGACCGAGGGAGCATGCCCCCTCAGAGGGGCGCCGCCCCCCCGCGCGGCGGCGCGCGCTCCTGGCCGAGGCGCTCCACGCAGACACCCCGGGCGTCGCGCCGCACGCGCCGAGGAGGCACTCGCGCGCGCAGGGCGGACGGGCGGGCGGCCCTCGCCGGGCGC